TATTCCATTATTCAAATGCCTTTTTGGGATAATTTCTTGCATTCTTTTTAGAGCATGAAATAGTCTTATTCTAGATAAAAAGAATTTGACTGAATTTTGTTTTAAAGAGACTCCTTAGGGTTTTTTCTCAATGATGGTGTGCACGCCAGCGGTATGTTTTTTCTAGAAAATTTTTATGTTTTTGCATTTCAAGGTCACTAAAACCATCAAAAGGCAATGATCAGAGTTCAGACTTTTGTTTGCGTTAGTAAATATTGTAAAACTAATTTGCTTTATTGAGCTTAGGTTCTATGAAGGGAGGTGCTCTCCAGCGATAATTGCTTTGCCTTAGATTTTCTCCAATTTGCTTCTATGAAATATCTCTCAAAATTTTCATAATTTGAAATGTGACAAATCTTACTCAAAAGATCCTTACTTTCTCTGTTGCATATAATATTACACAATGGAATAGAACTTCATCAAGATCGGTATCTGAGCATGTTTAGAATTTTAAATCTGTCGCCTTTTGGCAATCTTTTCCCTCTATGTTTTCTTTTCGGTTGACCTCTTTTTCAGGCATAGAAGGCCTATGAATGTTATGGGTACAATTGCTGGAAACCCTAGATTCCATCACATAAAAACTATATTGTGTAAAACTGTCTTAAACACACCTTTTCAGTTAACACTATTGCAATCATAGCAAGCCACCATGTTTGTTTTGCTGACAATTTTAGAGCTTGTGCTTAATTTTCATACCCAGATCTCATGCGGCCAAAAAATCCTATGGAGCCTAGTTAAAGCTATTAGATCTGAAATCAGATTTCACACTAACCCTGGATTATCTTAACCCAGCTTTAAAAAACCCTGCCCTGAGCTATACACACCTTTTGAGTAGTACTGACTTTTGATCTATTTAGAGGATGAAAAGATCACCACTAAGAACAATTTTCCTTCTTAAATTGTTGCGTAAAACAAATAAGTTCCATGTTGCTTCCTGCCTGTTCCACAACAACATGTTTGACACAACTGGCTGGACTTAAAGTAACAATCTTTAGTTCGTACTACATTTTTATGTCATCTGTGATCTATTAATGAACAAACCCATGTCAACATGTAATGTATTTGTTAACTTTAAGACATTACACATCTTGCAGTGGTCATCGTGAATATTCAGGCAGGCGAGAATACTATAACACTAAAATTGATTACCAGTATTAGATATTTGGAGTGTCATACCAAAAGGCAGGGCCTTTTGGAACTCAAACTTGCATGCACTGAGATTGGCAGACAGTTAGATAACGAAAGGGAAATTACAATTTGGACTTTGTGTATGTTTTCAGAAGAAAGAGTGAATATTAAGACTGAGTTGAACTGAGAATGAGTTTTATAGTAATTTTATTTTGTGTATCATTTGACAAAATTGAGCTTGCCTACACTGAATAACTTTAAAAAATCAAAAACTGAAAATAAGCAATGTACAAGAAAAAACAATTTATTTTGATTTACAGTGTATCGGTACCATATGTTCAAATACTGTTCTTTATATCTTCAAACAGTATTTATCATTGACCAGTGCTTGCTGTTGTCGAGGAAAATGTGGAATTCCTCCTGGTAAGAGTTATTGCAATAGCCTATTCCTATTCCTTTTTGTTTGTTGTTGTTGTTGTTGTTGTTTTTTTACTTTTGGAGGGGAGTAGGGAAGTGAGTACAATTTCTCAGTCCACCTACCTCCCATCCTCTGATATTATCACCTACAGTAATTGATATTAAGCTATTTACTTATTGGTACCAAAAAGTGATAATGATGATGATGGCAGTAATAATTTCTACTAATACTGTAGAAAATGTTGTTGTTTATTGTGGCTTAATGTACTGTTGATAAATGAACACATTTAATCACTTGCCTCAAATTGTAGAGTCAGGCTATCAGTTCTAATGATAGCAACAATAATAGTAATGATAAGGATGATATGTAAATGATATAAATAATAATGATGATAATGATGGAAGTAATATAATTGTAATTATAATGATAGTGATAATAATAGTAGTGGTATTTAAAAAATTAATGAATGAATAATTTTGCAGCTCCATACCTGCAATATACAATATGATTACAAATCTGAATTTTTGTTGTCTGCTGAGTAAAAAAAGGGTTGAAAGTTCCGCAAGAGTGTAGAATATGGGCCCCAGTACCTTAAACCATTTGTGGGGTCCCCTAAGGTAAATGAGTAAAGAGTGATTTTCTACTGTTTCTTGCTCAACTGCTAAATTTTCTGAAACCGTTCCCACTTTGACTGTGATACACTGCTGACTTGAAGATGATATATAAATGATATAATTAATTATGACGATAATGACGGAGATAATATAATTATAATAATAGTGATAGTGGTAATTATAGTAGTGGTAACGATAAGAAGTTGTTGTGTAATTAACTAATTTCCGTCTCACATCTAATAGTCAATCAGGGAATAATAGTGATTCATTTTTTTCCATAGAAATCCCTTACACAACAAAAACACCCACAGGTAAGCTATTCGTAACTTTCTCACGTTTACCCTAAGTGGTACTAGTTAATACGTCCCAATGTCTAATGCAATCCTCATTTTTATTCTGTATATTTGAATTTGTGATCCATAATTTGCTTTTTCTCAGTGTGAAAAACACGAAGTTCCAAAACTATGGTTTGGTGGCATATTCGGACAAATATGTGGTTTAAATTTCTCATAAATCCTCATGTTTTCTCAGTAAGTGACCCACGTTATTTTGCGATAACTACTCAGGATTTTTTGAAGAAAATTTCGATTTGTTAGAGTTACTCTCTAAAATTTCAATGTGGAGTACTTTGTCTCGGAAGAGATGAAAAAAAGAAATGTGGTTTCTAGACCGTAAGTCTTCTGAAACACGGATAGCATCTCACATTTTCCGCATACATTATCCAACAAGCTTATGTTGAGAAAAGACAAACTTATGAGCTGGAGCTGCTCATTCTGATGTAAGACTAGATTCTCGTAACTTACTTATAAGGAAATATTACGTAGTTAGAGGGGAGAATCATTGATTAGATCTGGTGAGTTTGATGGCTAACTGTGGTTTCTCCATCATCACAGGCTCGTCGTCTAAGTCTGGAGGCCTTAAAAGTTGGGAAATAGCTGTGATAACGATTGGAGGTGTCCTTTTGTTGGTCTTGATGGGGGGGATGGAGGGGTGCATTCAGGGCCCTGTCATAAACCGGAAGACCGCATGTTAGTATACGAACAAAAACTGGACAACAAAAGATTTTGAGGGCAGCAATCGAAGAAAAAAAGTCAAGGACAGGCACAGCCAGGAGGAGCAAAAAAAAAAACAAAGGAGAAGAAGGTCGGATAACCCACTATTTTTGCAATGTTTAGTAGAGCGGCTTGCAGTATTTCTTAGTTTTTTCCCATGAATTGAATCATTTTGCAGCTCCATGCCTGCAATTTACAATACGATTACAAATCTGTAATTTATGTTGTTTGCTGAGAAAAGAAGGATCGATAGTTCTGCAAGAATGTAGAGTATGGGCCCCTGTACCTTAAACCATTTGTGGGGTCACCAAGGGTAAATGATTGAAGAGTGATTTTTCTATGGTAATAAAATATGTGCTTATTGTTCATCGTGGTGTAAGTTAGGATATTAACTTTGTTCGTTTACCTCACTATAGAGTCACGAATGATGTAGATCGCGGCGTTTCGACTGCAATACTGCTAGACTACTGTTTCTTGATCAACTGTTGAATCTTCTGAAACAGTACCCACTTTGACGTGGACTGCTGATTTAAAAAAACAACACATGCTAGCTAAACACACACATATATATTTTAAACTAATCTTTAATGAATTAGATATTTAATTTTTCTTCGTAAAAGAAAAGTGACCCAAGTGAAAAAAGCCGCCCCGAGAATGTTAGACGGTTTTTTAGTCTCGTATTTCTAGTCTCTTGCACCAGCTGTGCAGGTTGTTATGTGTAATTTTAAATTTTTGATTAGATTTTTTTTCTTAATTTTAGTGCTTAAGATCAAATGGTTTGATTTGATTTCTCTTGCATTAATCTTAGCGTCACGGTCGTTTTTCTCCAAATATAGATGAGCGTAAACTCTAGCAGCTTCCTCTGTGCTTTACAGCAGAACAGAGCACAATCAAGGCTTTTCCATTTGTTAAACATAAAAAACATGGCCAAATCGAGTGTATTAGCCGAAAAGCCAATTAAAAGGCATTTCTGAAATGAAGTTAGCTAACTATGAGCGTTATTGTATACAATTTCAAAAATACGACCATATTTTTGATGGTTAGTGTCGGGTAAAGATCAAGCGACTTCATTTGAAGGGAATAGGGGAGGGGGGGGGTTTGTTTTCCAAGCTATCTGATCATCTATTTGTAACGTACACACGTACTTGTATAAAGTGTTCTGTGGTTAGTTTACAGTTCAGGCGTCTTATGAGGGCAACATTACGTTTCAAGCTCGCTACCGTTACGTTATCCGGCCGGCCATGTTTGATTAAGAGTTGGAGTGGAAGGTGTGGGAAGGGGATTGGGAAAAACGTAAAATCTATTGCCCCACCCCTCCCAAATCCGCTCAACCCCTCCCCTCGGAGGGGGGATGAGCTAGTAGTATGGAGCCTGCAAACTGAAGACCAAAGTGAGAAAGACTCCACTTTCTACCACATAGTTTGTTCGAACGTAGGAAAAGAAGGCAACATACACCCCCGCAATTTAGCTAATTTTAAGGTTCGCTCTTTTACAAAATAATTTGATATTAACAACTGAGTTGATACCGTGAATTGGCCATTGTGTTAAATGATAAAATTACAATTATAGTTAATCTACAATATCGTAAGGGTTTTCTGTATTGGTGTTAGAAAGAAAAGGAATGGAAATATTATATTATTCTAAGTCATTTAATGTAAATTATGAAAAGGGCAGGTTGATTACTTCGTACGCCTTCTTGGTGGTCTTATCTTAAAGGTTGAGTTTAATCACGTTCTTCTTGTGAGTTTAGCCACGTTCACCTAGTGAGTTTAATCACGTTTTCTTCGTTGTGATCGTGAAGTTGACATGGAACTCGTGGTAGGCCGTGTTCTTAAATAAGTTAATTTGTTAGTCCAGGAAGAGTAAATCTCCCTGGTAATAGGTCGCGTTCGACACCTTCGTGTTCCCAGAGGTAATTTAAGGGTAAACAGGTGATGTCACTCATGTTTTCGCAACAAGAAGCAATTTGGGGGCGGTACTTGTGAGCACCTTTCTTCTTTAACTCTTGTGACCAAGATGTTGTTATGTAACAATCTTTAAAGGTGATTTTCTCTTAAAAATACACTTTCAGGTATAAATAATACTCTACACCAAGGTTATTTGTAATTTTAATATTGTCGATCTCGTTTCTGTTCTGGCCGATCTCAACCGTAAAGATATGAAAA